TTTCGATATTTCTTAATAAAGAATATTATTCTCTTTTGAATGTTGAAAACCGCAGATCTCTAGCTGCTTCCTATCCGGAGCTATTCAACTTACAACCGGCGCCATTGTACATTGAAATGGATAGTAGCCGACATAGTAAAACTTTATATGGCAATTTCAGTTACAAGTGTAACAAATGAAGCAGCTTTTTCGAGGGTTTGCCGTTCATTAGCTCCAAAAACAATAAAATATTTAATGTTTTTAAAAGTCATATTTTACGTTGCATTTTTTAATGTCGTGTCCCATCTAGGCCTGGAAACGTTCACTGTTCCTTTGTTTAGCGTTTTCGTTAAACGTGAACGCGAGCTTTATTTTAACGTTAAATTCTACCGTTCTATACAATAAAATAACGCTTTTTTCAAAAAACGTTGTAACTCTTTTTAATATGCATGCAGTTAAGACGACGAATGTTCGAATCGTACGTTTACTTCAGACAATACGAACACCATTAGTGTAAAATAAAATTCGCATTCACCTTCAACGAAAACGCTAAAAAGGAACAGTGAACGTTTCCAGGCCTAGATAAGGCAGTGGAACACGACATCAAAAAATACAACGTTAAAAATTGACTTTTAAAAACATCGAATATTCCATTGTTTTGGGGGCTAATGAACAGCAATTTTTTCGTTGAATATAACTGGCAATTGAAAAAGCTGCTTCAGTTATTACGCTTGTAACTGAAATTGCCATATAAAGTCTTACTATGTGAGCTAGTTGTAGTATAACATCATAAATAAAGGTCGCATTCACTGGAACGCCAACGTGTTCTAGCGTTCATGTTCAAGGAGCGAAACGTGAACTTTAACAAGTCTATATGAAATAGCAAAATTGTGGCGTTTTTTCTATTTTTAAAAATGTTAATGTGTATTTAGGTAAAGGCAGCGAAACTCATTCAAAAGCAAAGCAGTGGTTATATGTATATCCTGAAGATAGTCACGAATTATTAAAATTATTGACAACATTTATTACTGAATATTTAATTGAACAAGTTGTAGCCGGTGCCCAATTACTACAAATATTTGAATCTCACTGTTCATGTTTAAATTATGATTTATTCATGAAATATTGTTTCCCCTATTTAAAACAAATATCTCGTGGTGTCAAAGACGGTCTTGCTAAACGTCAATGTCCGTGTGTACCACTCATCATCTTTGCAAAAGATGCTCATTATGTACTCGATGAATTAACGCAAATTGGATATGATGTAGTTGGTTTAGATTGGACAATTAATCATAAACAAATTCGTTCATTAAGTGAAAAATCATCGGTAACATTGCAAGGTAATTTAGATCCGTGTGCATTATACGCACCGAAACAAGACCTAGAAAAATTAGTTAAACATATGTTAGAACAATTTGGAACAAAACGATATATTGCCAATTTGGGTCACGGTATATATCCGGATGTATCAATTGAGAATGTGCAATTATTCATCGAAACAGTACATCGATTATCAAAACAAATGATTAATAAATCTCAATGAATTTTCTCTATTTTTTATTTTTATTTTGCATTTTATTCAATTTTATTTGTTTGGGTCATTGTGCAATACAAAAGAAAAATAGGTCCTTTTTAAAACTTTTATTTTATTAAATGAAATGGAAACATTCTTGAATAATTATTTATCGTACAGTTCGAGAATCCATTCTTCTTCATCCTTAATCACAGATTATTGTAGATTATTGATAAACATAAAAAAACGAATAACAATCGTTCTCGTCGAATCTAATCAAATAGCGATTATGAAAAAAAACTAAAACCAATGTTGAAAAATCGAAGAAATGTTTATCAGAAAATGTGTTTAATATTGTTGAAGACAATGGAGAAGTCGAATGAATTCAAATTAGAAATAGCAGGTAACGATCAACAATTGATAAAAAAAGATACGTTCATTACGATACTATCAAAACAGTATAAAAACCCCAAAAAATAGAAATTTTTAAATTGTTTGATAATTTCGTTTATATCCCTTCCTCTTTTCGTTTTTTTGTTAGTACAATTCGGACAAGTTGAATTATGAATAGTTTTTGCTGAGAACCAACTATAAAAATAATAACAATTTACAATGTATGGTTTGGCGAAGTATTGCACGCTTATTTGATACAATAGCAAGAATTACCAAACATATTGAACTCAATTAAAAAAGAACATGTGAACATGTGAAAGCAATCGATAATGAATTATCGTACAATGAGTAAGATGCACGGCAGGCAGAATTTCCACACTTTTTATCTTTTGCTGAGAGACATACCATTCGATAGAGAATTGAGCGGTGATCACGAATATAAGATCCCCGTCGCTCAAAAACATTTCCTCGCTGAGATAATCACGAAATACTGAAGAGTATCCGAAAATCCTCGAAAACCTCGTTTCTTGAAAAAGCTCTACCGTTTTTCTCCCTTTTTTTTTACAACGTTTTTCAGATTCAGCTTTGGAAACTAAATCTGGTAAACTAACTTCCGTAATTCCAGAGTCAAAAACATTTTCACAAAAAAATCTAAAACCAAAGCGACCAAAATCCGTGGATCGTTTTTGCAAACCTTTCAAGTCCCTCTGGAAACGTCGTAGAGCCAAATTGGTGAGACCGGCCTAGGGGTTAAAACCATAGGGAATACGATGGCGAATCAATGGAAACATTTTTAAAATTTTCCAAAAACTTCCAGAGGCTTTTCCAGAGAATGGATCTCCAGAAAACCTTCCTAACAACCAGACGTTTTAAAAATGGTCTCGAACAATAGAATTGAATTCTGAACAAAGTGAGACGTTTTTGCGCCTTCTGCCACCTCTCGGTCAAGAGAAATAACTCGAGAACAAAAAAAGATTTCAAAAATCTACACGTATACTGTTGTAGAGCTTTAGACGGCGCATCGAATGGCGTAAAAAATTTGGCTCTACGACGTTTCC